CGGGCACGACCGCGCCACCGGCCAATACATGCCTGAACGCCTGCGCATGGGCCTGCCAGTAGGCCAGGCCCTGGCGCTCCGAGAGCTCCTGCAGCTCCTGGGTCCACCGCGCTGCCAACGGCGCTTCACCCCGCCAGATCGCCAGCGGGATCGCCGCGGTGCCCAGCACCTGGCAACGCGCGAAGACGTGCGCGTCTTCGCTGCACGCCAGCGCCTGCTCCAGCGTCTGCCAGGCGGTGCCGAACGCCCCGCGCAACCACTGGATGCGCGCCAACTGGATGCGCATCGACACGCCGAACGGCACCTCGCTGCGGAACCGTCGGCCGATCCGCGCGTCGTTGAACGCAAACACGCGCCAGGCCAGCAGTTCGGCGGCGTCGTGCTCCCCCAGCGCGTGCAGGCACAGCGCCGAGACGCGGTCCGAGATGGCGATGGACAGGGGTTCGAAACTGCCGGTGGCCAGGCCGCGGATCTCGTCGCAACAGGCGAGCGACAAGCGGTAGTCGCCCTGTCCGTAGTGCGTCGTGCTCATGCCATAGAGCGCTTCGATGCGGTCGCCCTCCGATCCCGATGTTTCCAGCAGCTGGCGCGTCCGTGAGAACACGGCCGGGTACCGCAGGCGGCCATCGGGCACATAGCCCAGCATGAAGCCCGCCGCGATGCGCAGCGGCAGCTCCAACGCATCCGCGTCGACACCCGCGCGCGACAGCTGGGTCAGGGCCGTCTCGATGTAGCGCAGGTATTCCTCGACACGGCCGGCCTCGTCGTAGCTGCGCTTGGCGAAGGCGGTCAACTGGATGCCCAGGCCCAGGTCGTTCTCTTCGATCAACGCCCACTCGATGGCGGCCCGCAGATCGGCCATGGACAAGGCCAGCGCCGGCACTCCGCGGTGCTGGGACATGCTGGCGCCGGCATGCCGGGCGCGCTGCAGGCTTTCGACGATGAAGGCGGCATGGCGCCGATGCACGGGCGGCGCGCCATCGCCGTCGGCCAGTCGCTTCTCGGCATACAGCCGCGTGACGTAGAGCAGGCGGTGCACCAGCCGGTCGTCATCGGCCGACGCCAGCACGACGAGGGATTTCGCCGTCAGGCTGAGCACGTCCTCGATGACGCGCTGGCGGTTCAGCCGGTCACAGGTGGCGATGGCCACCGCGCTGTCCAGATCGAAGGCACCACGGAAGACCGACAGGCGCTGCAGCACCAGGCGCTCGCTGTCACTGAGCAGGTCGTAACTCCAGTCCATCACCGCCTGCAGCGTGCGATGGCGGGACAGCGCGGTGCGCCGGCCCCGGGTCAGCAGCTCGAACGCATCCCCGAGGCGACGCAGCAGCCCCGGCACGCCGAGGGCATCGACACGCG